CCCACGTGCCAGCCGCCACTGCAGCAGGACGCCAGCGCAGTTTCGCCGGCTCAGCCTACAGCCCCCGAGTCTCCATGCGAAAGGGTCGCTACTCCACCGACCCATGTTGATCGGCGTTCCGTCCGAGGGGGACCTGGAACGGTTCTCGAGCTTGTTTGGGTCAGGAGCCCTGTCGACCTGCCTATTGTAGCCTCTCTGGGCAGAGAAAATTCCCGGTATTTCGTCAGTGTACCTGCCACTCACATACATGGTACTCCAACCCGGGGAGTCAGCAGCTCAGATGACGCTGCACCATTGTCGACCTGACACCGACATCCGAAGTACGGAAGCTCATCACTTCGTGTGCGACATCGAGGATTTGGCGCCCCCCCTCCCCAGGTTGACTAGTGGATGAATGGTCCCAAGATCCTTTCGCGAAAGCATCGGAACTAGAAAAAAAACTGATAGAAGGCCAACATTGTCGTCCTTCTTCCACACGCAACCCTTTCTTAAAAGACGGCAGTTGCGTGCGGGCCTGCTTCCAGACGCTTGTCAGCAGGATCCAGACAACACGGGTATGATGTGAATCCTGAGAGAATTTGCACTAACAAAAGACCCCCTTACAACTCTGATTTGCCAACATAGCATCCAAGAAGAGAAGCCTAAAAGTATTTTCGTGTGGCTATACCCAACCCTCACGGAAGAAGCCTAATGCTGAGGATGTCTGGATAGTCGGCAGATGGTGGAGGCCGGCTCTGTGGAAGCGAAGCTCTTCATCCATGGTATTCTCCACTGTTCCGCGTTGGCCATAAAAGCTCCGGTGCAACAGTGCGGCTAATAAGGGTGGGTGCTATATAGACAAGGATGGTCATCACCAAGACTGAGAGAGTCGCCGATCTTTTACCACAGTAGAGACGAGTACAATAGTTGATCCCGTAGGAGAAAAAGAACGTGTTGCATATGATCCTTGTCAGCCAGAAAAGGAAGGCCGGCCTGTACAGCACACTGTCGTATGGATGGCTGGCTGGCAATGAGCGCGAACGATTCACCATTGCCACGGGGTGGATCATCAGTCTTCGAGGAGCGTTCAGGAAGCTTGAGGGGCGTTTGTTGAGGTACGAGTCCCGAGAGGAGCACGGATGATGACTCTAACGCAGGGACATGATCGCTGAGATGATCGAGGCAATCCCCAAATATGTCGAGGTCCAGGTATCTGCCGACATATCATCCTGCACGCTTGGGGAAATGATCAGTGGCACAAACGGCTTGCCATGAATCAAGGAGATGAGGACAGCAACCGGCAAGGGTGAAGATCAATCGCTTGGTACGAAGCGCATCGCGTCAAGGTACCCTGCGACGGCTTGTCAAGGCAGCGCTATCTTCTTCGCTCTGCGTCGGTGTGTCGCTTCGAGCTCCTGGCACCCGCTATTTCAGTGTGTACTGAGGCCGGAGGTTAGCTCATAGACCTTTGGCCTGGCCG